AAAATACCTAATAACGAAACTTCGATTTCTCATCCTTTCTACGCCGATGACACCCTTTTTGTAGGAGAATGGTCCAAGAGTACCATAAAAAACTTAGGTCGTATACTAAGACGCTTCCGTATTTCATCCAACTTGAAAGTCAATTTTCACAGGTCAAAAGTGTATGGTATTGGTGCTTCTGTTCAACTCACATGTTTGGAGAATCCTCTTGGTTGTGAGCAGGCCTTGCTACCCTTTACGTAACTTGGAGTTCCCGTGGGTAGAAATATAAACTTGATAAAGAATTAAAAATCGGTCATTGAAAGATTTTAATCTAAGCTCTCAACTTGGAAGTTGGAACAGACACTCTCATTTGGAGGTAGACTAATTTTAAATAAATCAGTTTTTGGTAACCTCCCTACATACTTCTTTTTCTCTTTGTTGCTCCAATTAGGGTCATCGAGTGTCTTGAGAAGATTCAAAGACAATTTTAATTTTTTTTTTTTTTTTTTTTGGGGGGGGGGGGGGGGGGGGGGGGGGTATATGAGAATTGCCTCTAAGGATGTCTCTGGAATGGGAGTAGGTTCATTGAGAGCTCTTAGCATCACTCTTATTGTTCCAAAAGCAATTCATCTCTCCAACTAGGTTGTTGATAACATGAAATCCTTGGTCTATATTCGGAATCAACACAAGAGATCTAATTGTTCAATTAATTGGGTAGATTGGTATGTTTGCCCCTTTTTTTGTGTTTTCTTTGTATATAGAGTTTGTACTTTTGCCTCTCTTTCCTCCATTAACTTCTTGCTAGATGTGGGTTGGTTTTTTATTTTAACAATATTTACCAGTTTCAAAAAAAAATAATAATAAACATCGTATTAGTTATAAGTACGAAAATGCATACGTGTAACAAATTTTATTTTAGAAGAACAAAACTCCTCAACATTTTTAATTCTAGTCGTTGTCATTACGTTACGCAGAAATACAATTACAGTAATTGGTCAAAAGTCAATCTTAAAGCTTTGACCATGGAATCATAATCAATTGGTAAGGTGCAAACATTACACTGACAACTTCATTAATAATAAATATAAATAAATAACATAATACTCCAATAAATCAAAAAAAATATTCTCCGTAATGTCCACGCTTTCGATCGAACCAAAGCACCATACACAAATTTCATGTATTAATTAATAGTTTTGAATTTCAAGTTGTACTATTTCTATCAAGATGAATAATGAATAAAAGTGATAGCAATTAAAAAGAAACTGGTTGTGCTAATTAAAACCTTCTAAAATAATTTACTAAAAATATATTCGCATCTTAATTTAACTAATAGATTAATTATTTAATAGATTACAAAATAAAAGACTTAAATGAGGGTATATCAATTTACCATTACTAAGAAATTACCAATTTAGATTGTTATATATAATTAATCTTGGTTTTTTTTTATTTGTATTTATTTTTATCAAGGTGAATAACCGGGAAAAGATTTCAAACTTACAGCATGCATTCTTTATAAATTTCTGAAATTAAATACACTACAATTAAAATTAACTAAATATACATTTTTTTACGTATAATTCCTCTTTTCATTAATAATCGGAATTTATTTGCAAAATGTATTTCTCCAATCTTTAAAAATCCAAGAGCCAAGAAGTACCATATAAGGCGTGGGCTACCTAAGAGCCCACTATTGTTTTAGGCCAATCTATTGATGGGGCTATTTTGGGCCAATCTGAGATTTCCTAATTTGTAGCAGTGCCAAATCAGAAAATGAAGTTAAATATGATAAAAATAATAAAATAATAAAAACAAATAAAAAAATTACAAAGGCATGCTATTTTTAGGCCATTTTAAGTTTTCATGCAATAGCACCTTGCTTGGTAATAAAAAATTTAAATATAAAAGTTAACAAACATAGAATATTCATTTAAGAAAAAGATTGTTACTAAGGAAAATATTATATTATCCCATATTCTAATAAATAATTACTTTTATGTTACGTAGCATTCTTCAAGCCCTCTCCTAGCTTATATTCCCGCTCATTTTATCAAAGTGAAATTCCGAAATTATCTCTCTAGCCTTATATATTCATTTACAAGTCAAATACTTTCCTCTTCAATTTTCATATTTTAATCGGAAATCTAGAATTTATATTCTAAATCCTCAATCATCCTCAAATCTCGGTCCCGTGATTAGTTGTGATTTGGATTTCAAAATCCCTAATTCACTCCCTTTAGTTGTAAAATCAACCGCCCTTTTAATATTTCGAAAGCTTGAAAGTTTACTTAGACGATGTGTTAAATTCAAGAAGATGAAAAAACAACGATAGGTTCTGTATCTTCCTCACATAAAAATCCCAAGATTCTTAATTATGGAGGTACAACCTTCTCCTTATTTATCCAAACACTAAATGTATTGTGTGTGTTTAACGACGTGTGTGTGTGTTGATTTCGTAACTCATAATATCCGATTCGGCATGATTGGTTTCTCTCATTTTGTCATTCGAGAGTCAAGAGCAAATGATATTTGGTACGTTTTTTCTTATTTCATCAATCTTCTGATTTCCTCAATTTTCAACCACATAACTCTAAAATAGATTTGAGAAATTTATCAGTTTTGCTTCTTTCTAACAAATTTGGTCCGTGAAAAGATAATAAAACTAATCCATGAAGAGATAATAAAACTAATTTAGGGCTTATTATATTCTTTTTTGTGTTTCAAAGTTTGTTGCTTTGAAGATGTATGCCAAATGCTTGATGAAATGTTTGAAAGGACCTATAAGATTTAATTTGAATCCATGATTACTATGTTGCTTCATTAGCTAAGTTTTCAACGTTGAGTAGAGATATAAGAACTTAGATTGATTATAAGTTACATCTTCTGTGTTTTTTAATGAAAACTCTATACTACATATGTCTCTTCCCCCTAAAATACAGTCTTTTAACAAGACTGTGGAATGAAGACTAATACATTTTAAGAAATATGTTGTTCTATTGGTTATATACCCCTATTAACAAGTTTGATTTGGAAAATAGGTAAAACAGTTTTTTGCATATTTTAATAATATGATTTATCCATCTTAGTTATTTCTCTCTTTTGTTCTCGTTATTATTTCTCAACCGTGGTTAAATGTTTACGGTTCATAAGTTTTCATCAACTTACAAAGTTTTGTTTCATTTTTTGAGTTATTACTTTATGATTAATGCTATTGGGAATTGATTGGCTTTGTTTAGGTGATCGACCAATAATTTTGTTAAAAAGTTATTTATAATATGTTTTTGTTTCATATTCGAACATTAATAGGGGTGAGAAATGTTTTGGTCAAATCTCTAGTGATTGGATCAAGTTTTCCCGCCTTCTGGATACTGATTGAACTCAGCAAGTCGATGAGATAACTCGGCAAGTTGGTTAGGGATTTCCCCAGAAGGAACTCGATGAGTTGCTATATGCATTCGACGAATTGGGTCAACGTGAACTGCTGACCTTGACCTTGATCATGGTTAACTAAGTCTGACTTTAAAGGTATTTCTAGTATTTATGGTATTTCAAAATTGTGATGAAGTTTGTCACATGGTGGTTGTAGGCAGCTGAGTTCGAAGCTGTGACTTGGGATTTGATCGTATCGCTTCAGCACTACATGTGAGGTGAGTTTTCCTTACTATATTCAAGGGTCGAAGGCACCAAGGTCGTCTGTTTGGATTATTATCCTGCTCTATTACTTTTGTTATCTGTTAGATCGGTATCCTGCTAGATAAGATATTTCTACCTCTCATCCCTTAAAAAAAGTTGAGCACAAGGCGTTAAGGTAGGCGGTTTGGTAAAAACCAGGAAGTGAACAAGCAAAAGATTTGTTGTTGAAGACACGATTTGAATCTTGAATTTGTTACAGAATGTGTTCATTTTCCGCCATGAAGCAATAATTTCTCATTTCAGTTTCATGTGTTTTTTCTTGTGTGTGTGTAATATATATATATATATATATATATATATATATATATATATATATATATATATATATATATATATATATATATATATATATATATATATATATATATATATATATATATATATATTATATATATATATATATATATATATATATATTACTCTCTCCAATATACAATAAATGCTTGCATTTCATATTCCTAATCGATATGTATTAACTATTAAAAAACCTTAGATTGGGGTTCTCATGTAGGCATATTGAAATTAAAACTAATTAAGGAAAACAAGATTTACATTACTAATTTTGATCGAAACTTCGAATGATCTTCGTCCCTTTCCACAATTTATCTTAACAACGTTCAAGTTTACAATCAATCTACTTTCTCACCATTTCAGATATCTGCAAATGCTTGAATTCGTAATACATTGGCCTATGCAACCAGTACATTCTTCTAGAAGCACGAATTTCATTACATGCTTACTCCCATTATCATCATAATGTCCTCTTTTTGATTTTATGTGCAAACTATAAAAACTTAAACTTGTTATACTTGTTGATATGGTTATTGGAGAATTGTCTTGATGATATGGAGTTTATGGTTAAAAAGTTAGATAAAAACATAAACAAGAGGAGAACCAACAAGAGCAATGAACTAAAACAAAGGAACCACCAAAAGCAATTAACTTTGAAGAAGTTGTTTCTAAAGGCCACAAGTTTGAGAACAAAATTGAATGGTGCATTGATTTCGAATCCCAACCAGAAAAGTAATACTATTACATTTACATTCACATCACATGCATTTATGTTTTGTAAATTGTTACTATAACATTTCTTGATTTTTCTTATGTTTTAGACTACACCTATCACACAAATTCCCGACAACCTATACATTAATTACAAAAAAATCGATTCCGTTTGGAATAATAAGAGCTATAACACAAAACTATTCATAAGTTTTTTTTTTTTTTTTTTTTTTTTACATTCTTTATTCTCAAAGTAGTTCAACAAATACAATTCACATACTTTTTGCACCACATTATTCAAATACCCAAAACCATTCAATTCATCGCCTCCTTCCTCTTCCACCAACAAACCGACCCGGACTAAACCGGGTAAGATCCACAACGGTGGAGCAACCATCCAACACTAGCTCAGCCACCGCAGCTCCGGTGGCCGGACCATTAAGAATCCCCCAACAGCTATGTCCCGTCGCCACAAAACACCCCTTCATCCCGGGAACCTCCCCAATCACCGGAACACCGTCATCCGTAGAAGGCAAGAAACACGCTTGCTCCGCTTTCACTCGAGCTTCTCCTCCCAAATGACTCGACACCTTCTCCGCCACCCGTTTCAGAACTCCGATTGAATCCATGTTCGGTTGAATCTCCTCCGGGTCGTCGGGAATCTCTTCCTCCGATGACATTCCACATACGTACACCTCCCCGGTTGGACGGGGATAAATTTCAGGATCCATCGGTTGACCACCGTTGGCCGGAGAATAAGTAAGAAAAAGAGCATCGGGAGTAATCGCATCCGCTTCTTTAGGCTCCAAAACTATACTATGAGCCTTAACACCATGAACACGAATCACCGACGACAACAAAGTAAACTTACTTGTCCACGGCCCAAGAGCCAGCACCACCGCATCGCCGTCAATCCCACCACCGCCCTCCATCACTACCCTCACCTTCTCTTCACCTGTTTCTAAGCTCTTCACTTTCCCGATTACAACTTCCACCCCATAGTCCGCCACGGCTTTCTCAATCAACGTCCGGGTAAACAACTGGGGGTGGACTTGGGCGGTGGTCTCCGTCGTACCGATAGTTTTAGGGCTTTTAGCTGGACCGTCGATCCACGGCGGAAGTGTTGATTTCCGGCTATGTGGTTGTGGTGGGTTTTCTGATTCGGCGATGGAAAGACTTAGGGTGTTGAGTGGACGGTAGCCGTAGGATTCACCTCCGTTTAGTTCTTCGGCAAGTGAACGGTGGAGATTGAAGCTGACACGTGCAAGGGAGGAGATAGGGCTGCCGTCGCACCAATCGAGAGCTAAGAAGCCACCGGCTTTACCTGATGCTGCGCAGGCGATGGATGATTGCTCGATGAGGGTGACGGCGGCGCCTTTTTTGGAGAGGAAATAGGCCGTGCAAACGCCGATTACTCCGCCGCCGCATACCACCACTCGCTTTTTGGTTGGATCGAGTTTTTGGGGGTCGTCCATGGATGCGCGAACGGTGGTGATGATAGAAACGAGTCTATAAGAAACGGAAAACGGCGATTTCATCAACGTTTACGAAAATCCTAGAACGACGATAAGACTGTAAGACACGTGTCTGTGTAAAACAGACAACCTTAAAGCCCATTTTCGAAGGCCCGTTTGAAAAAGATCTAGTTATCTAAAATAGAAATTGATCGTCATTATTAGATAAAATTGCAAAAATGATCCCTGTGGTTGTCAAATTTATGCAGTTTTGATCCAAAACAAAATGTTGGTGCACGATTGGTTCAAAATTGGATCTTTTTTGTGTTTTTGGTCCTTGTACACTTAAAATGACTATTATGCCCTTCATATTTGAATTTTTTATTTTTTATATTTATATTATTGTTTTTAATTAGTAAAAGTCTCTCTCTCTCTCTCTCTCTCTCTCTCTCTCTCTCTCTCTCTCTCTCTCTCTCTCTCGAACACCCTCCAGGTGCTACCCTCTCAAGAACATCCAACGTATCCCACCATTATCATTTACCACCACGATCGCCTACTACCATTTTCGTTCACTACCACCATCCACCTTTCATCATCGCCGTTTACCACCACCATCCACCTGCTACCATCGTTGTTCTCCACCATCCCCTTAAGAACACACACAATCATTCTTTCTCACTCCTCCTGCCATTATCTCCATTCGTCACCACCGTTCGCCGCCGACTCCCCGCCCACCTCCATCTCCCCCACCATCACCTCTCCTTCCCTAACCTGATAACCATTCGCCACCACCATTCACCTGAAAATTCAAACCAAAACGTCAAAAAATCGACGGATTTAAAGAAAATGGTGGATGTTGAACCACAGATCCATCTTTCTCCAGTGGCGGTCTTGAACCACAAAATTGTTTTATGCGTTGAAATGTGGATTAATGTCGATTTTGTTATCGAATGGCCGATGTTGCAAAAGGTAGCTTGAAGGGAACAAGTGAGGTTGATGATGGCGACGCAATTAGAGCAAAAGAGAGTTGAGGGCCAGGGTTCTACTTCCCCGACCTCCTTCTCCCAGATCAACTTCTACTTCTTTCGAACAAGATGAGGATAAGAGGATACAAAGTCAATTTAAGTATATTTCAAGGATCTGAGATTGAAATTGCCCTCCTAATTCGAGCTAAAATCAAACAATGGTGTAGAAATCGAGCAACCATGGAGAACGTGACGTCGATCGATGGTGGTGATAGTCCAGTTGTTCTGGGTGGTCGATGACGGTGAATTTAGGGTTCTTCAGCTGAATCTTTCACTTGATTTTGTGATTCCAGTTGTTCGAGCCTAAGTTTGTTAATGACATCTAGATGTCTCGCCGTCGTATCATGTATCTTGTTGTGGATCTCGCAATAGAAGCCGCCACCGGAGCTAGGGTAACAGAGTCGTCGTTGGAGTGGTGGTGATGGTGGTCTTATTTTAGGGTGTGGTGGGGTGTGACTTAATTGGAATGGGTGGTCCGATGATGGTGTTGAGAGAGAGAGAGAGAGTTTATTTTGTTTTTGTTTTTTATTTTATTATAAGAATAAAAAAATAAAAACATTAAATTAAAATATAATTATTTAAAGGGCATATTAGTCATTTTAGGTGGGATGTGGATCAAAAACACAAGAAAATACAACCATAGGGACCAAAACCACACAAGATATCTAAAATTGGACAAGTGGTGCACCAACATTTCGTTTTGGACCAAAACTACATAATTTTGCCAACCACAGGGACCATTTTTGCAATTTTGTCTGATTATTAACTTATAAATAGTTTTTAACATTTGAATTTTGGTAGTGTGACACCAATATGATAATCAACTGAAATCCGATTTATTTTACGTATAATTAGCAAAAATAAAAAAAAGTATAAAACTATAAATGAAAATAAAATCGATTTTGATGTTTTAGTGTTTAGATATAAAAACAATTTGATGTGGAAGATTGAAGAGAGTGCATAACTAAATATCATTGAAAACTGATACTAGTAATTAAGATAACTCGAAAGTATCTAACAAACTAATAGCTTTAACCAGTTTTCTGATTTTGAATTTAGTTACAGCTAGTGAGATGTCTACATCTTATGGAGGAGGGAGTCTTTTCCTCCCAATCCACTAAAATCCAGTGTCATATCAATTTTTGTTTCTTCTTTTTCTTCATCTTTTCCAATCCACAACACACAGAAATCATATTTTTCTCAACCAACTCAATAAAAAAAATACAAAACAACTAATGTATACGTTTAAAACATATGGTACAAGAGAAAATGAGAAAGAGAAAGTACAAAGAGATGATGAAGTCGGTTAGTGAAACCAACGAACCAACCCGTTGAAGTGAGAGTGATACCGCCGATAACTCTATTTTTAATTAAAATTTTACCTTTGATTGTTTTTTTTTTTTTTTTTTTTTTAATTGAGCGGGTTGAGTTGGTTCAAAAAAATATGGTTTCTGTATGTTGTGAGTTGGGAACATGGCCGACTCTCCCTTTTATCAAAATAAGCAAGGGCTTAGGGCCCCTTTATGTTAAAGGGCCTCAAATTTGAATAGAAAACTGAGAATCGATCATCGGATTGTTACGCACATCGCACACCTAACGCCACAATCAACAATCACCGATTCAATTTCCACAAAATCGCATCTATTCTAGTGTTCTTCCTTCTCGCCGGCTTCTCCTCTTGTCCTCTTATCTCTACTCTAGTCAAAAGCACATAAACGCAGCCAGTGGCAGCAGCCAACGACGATTCAATTCCGTGATTCTCGATCAGTCCATTTTAAATCAAGGGTGGCATTGCAATACCTGATGAATTGAAAGTCTGAAACAATATGTGTTTCCAGTTTACATGATCTAATAAAGCATATGAAATGCTCGAATCCTTTTAATGATTTATCAGGTAATATAATCTTTTTCTTAATTATATCAATCATAAAGTAGATATTTCTTATGAATTTAACATATTTTTCTTAATTTTTCTCAAATAGATGAGCCTCAAGAAAATTAATTTACATAAGAAGTTGGCTCCTAGAGATGTTGGCGGTGGGTGCTACTGGTCGTAGAAGGAACATGATGGAGGTGGTAGTTTTAGTGGGAACTTTCAGGTACTTTCTATTTTTTTTTTTTAAGCATTACAATGTCAAATGGAGGTGTCAATGATAAAATATGTTTTTCTTGACAAGGTGATTAGTTGAACTGATTTCAACCAAATGATGTGTCTAAAAGACTCATTGGAGGTGCATAATAGATTCATTGTTATTCCAACTTAAATAGTTTGAATTTTTTTTTTCCACTTAATTTCTCTTATTTAACAAGTGGGAAGAGACATGTTTGACCCTACATAGGTTGTTGACCCTATCTAAAAGACATCTTTGACCTTACATAAGTAGTTAGCTTATCTTTAACCTTACATAAGTAGTTAGCTTTGGGTTACAAGTCGTTGTAGATCTAATGGAACCTGTGATTGTTCTTAATTTGGGTAGATCAAATCCAAGGCTTTGGTTAGTATAATTTTGACCTGTTGTTTATATTCATTGAATAATAAATATATTATTAGGTTGCTATACTTTTTCTTTTTTAAATAACAAATGAAAATTCGTTATCTATTTATCTCCTTGTCCGTGATTGTGGATTTGTGTTAGATTAATAATCTGATAAGTGTTACCGACTTATTTTTTATTCTAGTATTGACTGATCTCATTATCTATTTATTTTAGACACTCGGGTTAGATTAAGAATCTTAGGGTGTGTTTGGTTGTGGAAAACTGTTTTCATTTTCTAAGAAAATGTTTTCAGAAAAGAAAGTTGAGTTTCATTTTTAGTTTGCAACGAAAATTTAGAAAACGTGTTTGGTTGGAAGCGGTGGACTTTTCGTTTTCCGTCTTAGAAATTTGGAAAACTTTGAAAAACTGTAGAACTCGCTTTTCTAACTTACATACAATTTGGAAAACTGAAAATTTTTTTTTTCTTAGAAAACTTTGAAAAAAGTGAACGAACCAAACGCGTTTTCAAAATTTTCATTTTTCTTGGAAAATTTCCCTAGAAAATTGTAAAATTTTCCACAACCAAACGCACTCTTAAGGGTCAATTTTTAATGAAAACGCGTTTGGTTGGAAACGGTGGAGTTTTCATTTTCCATCTTAGAAATTTAGAAAATTTTGGAAGACTATAAAACTCACTTTTCTAACTTACATACAATTTGGAAAACTAAAATTTTTTATTTTTTTAGAAAATTTTGGAAAACTAAACGAACCAAATGCATTTTCAAAATTTCCGTTTTTCTTGGAAAATTTTCCTAAAAAAAGTAGAAAACTTTCCATAACCAAACGCACCCTAAGTTTTTCTATTTTCCGTTATCTTCTATTCTCAAAAAACGGATATTTCTAATCCATAATCCATTAATGGACTTCCAGTTTATTGTTTGTTCATTTGTAGTTGTGTTGGTGATTGTATTTATTAATCAAATAATCAATAATAATGACTAACAGAAAACCCAAAGGATCCTAAATTTTTTGTTCGCTTATAGCCTACATACTGGTTGAACCGCCCCTGGTTGGGAAAGTTGAAAAAAAATAAAAGAGAAAAAGTGATATGACAGTGAGTTCAGTGGGTTGGAAGGGAATGATTCTCTCCTCCCTTATGATGAATTTAATAATATTATATTTTGGATATTATTTTTGTACTGTTCTTTTATATAAGTTCCATTTCTCGTGTTTTTGTAAAAAATGGAGACTATGTTTGTAAGTTTCATATTAGGCCAGAACAGTTTATATAGTTTTTTGAAACGGTCATTTCAGTTATTTTGCTACTGAGTAGGGATCGTTTCTATAATTTTTTTGAACATATGGACCAATTATGTATTTTTCTTCTTATACACAGACCATGCTTTTTTTTTTTTTTTTTTTTTGTGATTTTATGAACCATTTTTATATTTTTGTAAACAACAGGACCGTTTCTGTGAGTTTACTATTAAAGAGGACCCAGACCCTTTATAGTTTATGAAATATAAGGATAATCTTTGTAGTTTTTTCTATTAAAATGGGTCATCTGTGTAAATTTGGCATA